TAAATAGACAAAAGAACGATCAAGAGAGTACTATAGCAAAGGGGAGAGGTAGGAGCTTTTTTTTATATTAGTAAAGGGGAATTAGAGAGGGGCAACAACTACTTAATACTTTGTATAAATTTTTTACTATGTAGGTATCGCCATTGTTAAGCTTTTTTTGTTTTTGTTTATATTTTTGAGTATGTTGAGAATCATAAACATAAAAAACCTACACATATATATTTACATATTTCTAATGAGTGCGTGTGAGTGTAATTTATGCTTTGTACTTTGAAACTTTGCTTTTTTGTTGTTATTGTTTCTAGTTTTTATTTTGTAGGCCGTTATTTTGTTTTGTTATTTTACTACTATTTCTATGCTCTCTTCTTCTTTTTGCGTATTAGAGTTGATTTTTGTGTTACTCCCTAAAATTTACTACTATTTTTACTATAAAATAGTAAATTTGTACCTAACAAAAAAAATGTACAGTTTTGGTTTAAGAAAATAATTTCATTTTCATTTTGTTTTTTATTATTAAAATCTAAATTTTAGAATTTAATTATTTATTCATATTGATAACAGCTTAGTAAATATTAAAACAAAAGAATAAACAGAAAAATGTTAAACAGGTTCTGTGGGTGCGTGACCTTCTTCTCATAGGTTCGGTTTTTTTTGCTCGGGTTTTTTATGTTTTAAAATAAAATTATGATTTGTATGCTTTTTTGTTTTGGTTTATCATATCTATTATTTATACTATTCTTCTTGTTTATTTTTATTTTTTAAATTAATACATGACTAAAACGGAAATAAAAAGTTATGTACATATTTATGACGAACTATGATTTTAATAATAATAAAAAATGTGTCATTTTACATGACTAAACTTCTTTCATATGTTTCATAATGGAGACATTTTTTATAAGAAAATTATTAATATGAGATTATTTTTCAGACTGTTTTAAACTTTAAGCGGTATCTTTAGAGAACAGTCTTTAAAGTCCTAGTACCTGATGTAAAATACATAAAATGTATTTAAAAATTTATGTAAACTATTACCAAATTAGTTGAGTTGTGCCAATTTTATGGCATTAATTGTTTGTTATTTTGCTCTTGTTTTATATTCTAAATTGTTTTATTACCGTTTATAAGTATTTGTTAAAAACAAAATAACAAACTTCCTTGATTTTTCATTATTTCAAATTTATATTCTTTAACTGTTTTTATATGAATTTTTTATAAAGTTTTTTGAACTCCTCCTTGTGGTTTATTTATTTATGACTGGTTCTACCTCCCGATTTGTATATTTGTTACAATATGTGTTTTGTATTAAAATATTTTTTTTTCATTATTTGTTAAATGCATTAAATTTTAATGTCAATAACACTGAATGTTTTTGTTAATGAACTTTATTTTGTACATACATATATTTTTTCATTATTATTTGTTAAAATTCAAAGTTAACTAACTTTACGTTTGTTGAATATTATTTTTTACCTTTAAGAAAAAAACCTTGAGTATATATATTTTTTAATTTTTAGAAGGTAATAAACAAGAAAATTAACCAAGGAAGTTTTTGTGTAGCTTGTTAATTAAATATAATTAAAATAAAGACAAAATAAAGTTTTTTGTTAAAGATATACTTAAAGAATATTAAAATGTTTTTATAACAAACAGTAAATTGCTTAACAAAATAGATTTTTAAAGAAGTTTTCAAATTTTTATTATTTTCTTAACATTTTAAGTAAAAATTGCCAAAATATGGTAACATTTTTACAAGCCAGTCGCTTTATTCATTTTCTCGCGCTTCATTTTCTCTTTCAACTTGCATTAATGTTTTCATTTCGCCATAGTACAAATCAGAGAGAGAAAGTCAACTAACGCAATAGACAAAAAAAAAAAAAAACAAATACAAGCAAAATATGGCAACTTCTTTCCTTAACAAATAACTGTAAATTTCTATTTTAATTTCGAGGTGTAGTGTTGACATAATTCTATTAAATTTGATGTTGGATTGCAATTTTGCAAGACCCTTTATAACAGGAGCTACTCTAATGCTATATATTTAGCTGCTCTCCCTAGATTTGTATAACTCTTTATTTTTGTTGCCCGTTTTAATACGATTTTCCCATAAATAAATATAATTATTGTGTGGCGACCTAAATTATATAGTTTTTTTCTTTTCATTATACTTCATGAAATGAAATTAAATAAATATATATGTATGTACGTACGTTTGTATACCCAGTAAAGTGTTTTATTAACAGCAGACTGTCTAAAATAAAAAAATGCCTAGAAAATGAAACCAGAGACAGACAGACATACAAGTTTTTCATTAAGAAATAATAATAATAAAAAACTTTACTTGCTTTTTTTTTGTAATATATTTTTCATTTTTCCGTTTTGTTGTTGCTTTATTATTTTAATTCAAATTGCAATCAACGCCTTAAGTATTTTGTTATGGATGCAACTTGTTTAAAGTTGCAATGGACGTCAGTCATCAGTTCATCCATTTATTGTTAGTGTTTATGTTGTAATTTTGTTTTTCTCATTCTATGTTTTTCTTCTCATTCTTTTTCATAAATAAAACACTAACAACTGGGGATCTGCTGTAATGAGTTTTATTTTTGGATTGTTTTTCTTCCTTTATTGTTTTCTTTTGTTTTATGTTGTTTATGTTTTGTTTTCCAATTTTTTGTTTATGTTTTTATTGCTATTGCTGCGTACGTGCTAAATATCTCGTTGTTTTTTTCTTTATTTAACACCATAAATTTAAGTTTTGTTTAGACAAAATTTGTAAGTTTTTGGTTGTAAGTTTTTTTTTGTTTAATTTAGAAGTTTTAGTAAAAAATTTCATAATATTACGTGTAATGTTGTTTTAACTGAAGTGGGTTATAAAAAAATCAATATAACATTTTATTATCTAAACAATATCTGTCTGTTAGTTTGTTAAGATATTAATTTCATGGGGTTTTTTGTTGTTGCTGTACGCATTATCAATTACTTGCTTTACACACTCTTTAGCCCCAACAACAGCTGCCGTAATTATTTCGTACAAACAATTTTTTGTTTCAATATTTAGTTTTTGTAAATTTTTACACATGTTACCGATTTTGTATTAGTTGTTGCTGTTACTGTCTGTTAAAGTTTTGTTTGTCATTGGGAATAATGCTACTGTTGTTGTCATTGGGTTTTTTTATCTTTAATGTAAAAAATATTAATTGAACAAAATTTAAGTTAACAAATCTGTTACTTTTTTGCTCAATTCAAACTAGAAAGGTTAAGGTTCATTGAAATGTAAACAAAAGGATTTAAAAAGAAAAGTAGTAAATAAGAAAGTTGCCACATGTCCTTTCTTTTAAAACAATATGGTAGTCTCACCAGCTAGTAATTGATAAGCAGTGGCAACATTAAGAAATATTTTTTACTTTTGTATATTTACTATTTATATCCAAAATATTACATTTTTAAACAATAAAATTAGACATTTTCTAAAATTAGACATTCATAAATTTACAATGTTGTTTACTAAATTATATTAAAACACAAAACATTTTCTATTGTTGTTATTTTCTAAAATTTACAACATGTTTTTATTTAGCATTGAAATCGTTAAGAGAAACCTTGGAAATAAATTTGTTTACTTTTTTTAGCCCAAAAAAATAATTAAAAAATAGCCTTCCAACAATAATGTAAACATATTTTGGTTATTAAAAATATCAAAAAGAAATTTTATTTCATTTTATTATATTTTTTTTGCACGAATTCATATTTCTTATAACTCATTTCCTTCAATTACCACTAATTATTATTATTTTCTTTTATTTAATTGAGTTTTCACTATATTCCAGAAAGAACCAATCAAAACACACCCACAAATATGATTTATTTTTTAATTTATTTCAACTTTAAACTAATTATTTTTTATATTTTATTCCCACCCCCTTCCTTCTCACAGACTGTAAGTTTTTATAAGGAAAAATATCATTTAGCAAAATTACATACAACGTTGAAAAACTACAACATTTTGAAACATTTAAACAAATTAACTACTAAGTTTTACTCGAAAAAGAAAACTTGTAGAACAAAATTTTTAAGAAATAAAAATTTGAAACAGAAAAAAAGTGCAAGAGTTTATTATCGTTAAAACTTTTACCAAAAAAGTTATAGAACCAAAACATAATAAACCAAAAATTGTGCTTTTTTTAAATATTATAAAATTGAAAATATTTTATAAAATAATTAAAGCGTACTTTTTAAAATCGCCTAAAACAAACAAATAAATTGGGACAAAGCTTTTTAGTGTACCACAAGAAAAAACACTTGTACACTTTAAGCAAAATCATCAAAAAACAAACTAAGAAATTATTTACTACAAACATAGTGAGGGTTTACATTGTTTGTTGTTTGCAAATTGTTGAAATATTGGTTTAGAAGAATCATAAAATAAATCTTCTACAAACCAATTAAAGAATAGTACTAAGGTTATTGAAGCTTACAAACAGAAGTAGCATTTTTCAAGTGCGTTTAAAAAAACTTTTGTTTTTCAATTAACCAGTGTGTACAACACAAGTAGCAAACAATAAATTTTATTTTCGGTAAAATTTTTTAAAACAAAATTTTAATTTAAAGAATAACTAGGTTGGGCACCTTTTAGTTTTCGTACGAAAGCTAAGGTAACTTGTTTATACAAAACTAACAGAAAATCAAAGTTTTAAAGCTTAATTTAGTTTCTTTAAAATAACTTTATTCTAAAAAGAATTTAAAAATAAATACAATTCATATAAAAGATTGAGAGTTTAGTTTTCTATTTGAAATTAAACTCGTTGATATCGCCATTGTTTTTAGTGCTTGCATTGAAAACAATAAGCTGAAAATAAAATCAAACAATTATTATTAAAAACCTTTTAAACGGCCTAGAAAGCTTTTTTTCAAAGTAAAAAGAAAATTCTTTGAAAAAAAAGTAAGAAATTTTTGTTAATATCCAAAAAACATAAAAATTTTCCCATCACAACTAAACATAGGTACTAGGCCAGCCCTCACAATGTCTGTCCCTGTACGCTACTCTGCTGCCGCCAATTACGCCGTCGCTGATAGTGGTTTAACAAATACTCTGAACAACAACGAACACGAGCAATACCAACACTACGCCTCCGAGGAGTTGTATAGCAGTCATTTGTATAACCACCACCAACAACAACAGCTGAACAACAGCATCTACGGCTTTAACAGCATTTTGGAGGAGCAGCAGCAGTTGATGCAGCAGAGCACATCGATGTCTGTGTCGGCAAAGCCACAAGAAGACCTGGTAGGAGCAGGTAATTCAGCAGCAGGAGCCTATCACCATCATCAAATGAATCATCAGGAGCAAGCCACCACCTCGGCCAAGGCCAGAGAAATGATGGCCGCTCAGTTGAATGAGATGCCCACAACATCGGCGATGGCGGCGGCAGCAGCTGAATCTGCAAATACTGCGGCTATTAATGGCAGCAGCCACACTGCAGAGATGCGAACTGAGTGGATGAGGATGTCTGACGAGGGCCGGTATGGAACACCGGGTGCTGCTGGCTTAGATTATCAGAAATTTGAGCTGGAACAACAACATCAAACAACACCTAATCTAATGGACCAAACCATGGAGCCTTCGTTCACGGACAATGAGAAGAATAATAGTAGTAGTAGCAATAACAATTTGGAAGATGAACTAACATCGATGTCATCTGAGGAGCTTTACAATACTCTTAAGGAATATGATGCTCTACAGGATAAATATCATACTGTGTTATTATTACCTAAGGAATCAAGGGTAAGTTGTAACAGCAATTTTAACGATTTCTTTTGAAGTTTTAATAAAAAAATATGTATTTTTCTTAATTTCAGCGTGAAGTTACAGCTGGCGGTCGTGATGGCTCCGCTTATGTTTTACGTTGCCTTAAAATTTGGTATGAGCTGCCCTCCGATGTTCTATTCTCGGCCATGAGCTTAGTGGATCGTTTTCTGGATCGCATGGCAGTTAAACCCAAACACATGGCCTGCATGAGTGTGGCCTCTTTCCATTTGGCCATAAAACAATTGAATTTGAAGCCTATACCCGCCGAAGATTTGGTAACAATATCACAGGTGTGTATTTAAGAAGAAATAAACTATTTACTCTTTATTATTCCCTCTCTTTATATTTGGTATTTGTGATAATTTATAATTTTTGTTTATTTTTCTTTAGTGTGGTTGCACCGCTGGCGATTTGGAGCGTATGGCTGGTGTAATTGCCAATAAATTGGGCGTACAAATGGGTCATGCACCCATTACCTCGGTCAGTTATTTGCGCATTTACTTTGCCCTGTTCCGTAATTTGGCTAAAGAAATTGGCGGTCAATTCTTTGAATTCTACAAGCAACTCATCAAATTGGAAGAATTGGAAAATCGTTTGGAAATATTGCTGTGTGATGTAAAAACAACTGTTATTACACCATCCACTTTAGCTTTGGTCTTGATATGCCTGCATTTAGATTTTCACATTAAGGAATCATATACACGTGGTAGTCCCGAACTAAAGCATGTCTTTGAATACATACTCTTCTTGCAACAATATATGAGGGTAAGTTTTTTCTCTATTACAAGAAATGAAAAAAAAAACTTAAAATTAAACTCATAACTAATTAAATTTATTTGTAATTTTATTATAGATTCCCGATCGTGTCTTCACCTGCGGTTTTAGTATTGTTTCGGGTATTTTGTCCCATTACAATGGACAAAATAAACAACCCTATAAGCAACGTTTGGTTTGGAAATTATCTAGCCGCACTTTACGTGTATTGCGTCCAACCAATCGCTTTTCAACAGACCTGCCCACCATTGATGAAGGCATTACTAATGCTATGGATGATGGTTTACGATCCAGGTAAGAAGATTTTCTTTTTTTTTTAATTTTTTATATAAATTTATTAGATTAGGAAAAAATGTAAAACAAGAAAATGTTTAGTTCAGTTTGAAAAGAAGTTTAATCTAAAGAAATGTGCTATTTAGCAGTGAAATGAAATTAGGCAACAATTCTATTGTCAATGTTTTTTTTCAAATTCAGTTCGAATTGTTGCTGTTGCCAATATTTAGTTAATGTGTTTACTTCATTGTATTTTAATTGATTTACAGTGTAATCTTCCAGGTTGTTTTAGAATAATATTTAAATAATTTCTAAAATGGTTTTAAAAACAAAATCGTATTAAATTTTCTAATCGATGGCAGAAAAACAAATAAACAAATAAATAAACTTTAAACACTCGTGTAGCTATTTTTAGTTTAATATTACTCCCTCCAAGTAGTTGTTATTGCAAATTTATAAAAACAACAACATAAACAGCAACAATTAGAAAAAAGTGTGACTTTGTGTGCTGATGGCTGACATAAACAAGTTTCTAAATTATTCCATTAAAAACAAAAATGTTTTTTTTTTAACAAAAACCTAAAAAAAATTCAAATGTTTATTAGTTTTTCGTTAGAGTATTTGTTTAAATGTCTCGGTATGAGTGCTGCGTATGTGATTAACATTGTCATGAGACTTTTTTTTCTATTTTTTGGAATATATGAGATGTATTTTTGTTATTTCTTTTTGTATTTATTATTATCATAAATTTGCTAAGCCTATATAATATAATACAACATTTGTACAAACATAGGTACATATGCATACATATATATTATCTGTGTTTTTTATATGGCTAGGTATGTAGGGCTGTGTGTGTACACACTTTTGAAATCTTTCATACTACATCATAAAACCAAAATAAATATGTTGTTGTTTGGTGCTGATGTTTTTTGGGGGGAATAAATTGGTAGGAAGAGGTGTGTAAGGGAACTCTGCCAATTGATTTACGTAAATCGAAATGATTCGAAAAAAAAAAACAAAGTAAATACGTAAATATTTTAACAAGATTTGTTGTTTATTATTCATAAGCATAATGCGTTATGTTGATTTTCCATATTTTCTTAAATTATTGTTTTTTTTGTCATTTAATTGGAAATTGTTTTTTAAACCTTTTAAATTTGTCTTTTTTAAATTTATTTTGTTTTTTTTTTTGTTAATTATTTTCTACAATCTTATCTAATCTTTTAGCAAAATGTTTATGTTCTTGCCAATCTTTTCTTTCTTGTTGTTGTTTGAAATTTGCTGTTTTAATTTTATTTTTTTATATTCTAGATTTTTTTGTTTATCTATAAACATTTAAATTTTTTATAACTGTTGTTTAGTTTTTAAAATAAAATATCAACAACAAGTTCTTTTTTAAGTTCAATGCACTTTTATTGTTGCAATTTATTTTTATAGGCACTTAGAAAGTTTTTTCTTTAATATTTGTGTTTGTTTATCTGTTCAGGTTTTTTTCTACGTGCGTCAAAACACACCTACATGTCTGCTTTGTTAAGCTTTAGCTGACTGCTTTTATTATAAATGTTTGAAACAACAAATACATTTCAAAAGATTTCAAACATTAAGCAATTGAAGGTCAAATAAATGAGGCTTAAACAATGCAAAAGAAAATTAGTTTAAGAAACTTGTTGTTTTTAAAGAACTTAAATGTAACAGATGTAATCTGATTCTATATATACATATGTAATGATGAGTTTGTATAGAGTAGTAACAGAATTAATTTAAAATTTTTAAATTTGATTATCATTTTAAAATTAGAAGGATTTTTAAGGTCAATGAACTTTATTTTTAAACTTTTAATACAAAAAACATGATACTTAAGACTTTTTTGAGTATAATGAAAAGTCCCTGCCAAAATTTTACAGATAACTTGGTCTTTGTCTACTTTATTATATTTTCTTATTGTTTTTCAAAAAAGTAGTTTGTTATCTTTTTTTTTTACTTATTAGTCTGTGACGTTAGTTCTTTTTAATAATTTGTTTACTTTCATTAATTTTCTAACAAGTAAATTAGTTTATTTATGATAAAATTTTTTTCTTTAAGTATTTGTTTTTCATTGTTTTTCACAGTGTGACAATCAAATCTTTCTCCCGAGTGTTTTCACATGATTTGTTTGTTTTTCTATTTAGCAAATCAAATACTTTCAACTTGTTTTTGTTTTGTCCATAATGATAACCTATTTATTTTAAACAAAAACTATTTTTGTTAATAAATATAGTAACAAAAACAAAACAAAGAATAATTATTTTGTATAATTGATGAAGGTTGTTTACGATTTAGAAGTTGGGAATATGGGAAAAATATATTAGAAAATGATTGTAATAATTTAAAAAAATATATAGTTTCAAAATATGAGCTTTTTAAGAAAATTCTTAAATTGCAATAATTCGAACTTTTTTTCGGAAATTCGAACTTATGTTCGAACATATTTTGAAACTGTTAAAATGATTTGTCAATCATGAGGAGACATAAAAATATATTTTTGTATAATTTGAGAGCAATTTCTAACATTTTCCAATTTCGAACTTCAATAATTTGAACATAATAAAAACAAAATTCATGAATTTTTAAATAAGCTTTTAAGAATAAGCTTTTTTTAAGCTTTTAAATAAGCTTTTAAGAAGATTTTTAACAATTTTTCCATAATTCGAACTTAATTTCGAAAATTCAAACTTATGTTCGAAAATTTTTTAAAACCTTTAAAATTATCTCTAAATCATAAACACATAAACTTAATTTTACTTAAAAGCAACATTCTAAAATTTCCCCATTTTCTTTATCTACTTACAGAACCGAAAGTATTAGTTCCGAAGAAGAGGAGGACTGGCCAACTTCACCCATTATTCCAATTTTCGAACAATGTTAGTACGAGTTCAGAGGCGTTCAACAACAACCAGAACAACACTAAGAACACAACAAAGAAGAGCATAAAACAGGATGAAATATGCTATAGAAAAACTTTAAAAAATTTTTTATTTTCTACCAAACAAACAAAAGAAAAAAGAAAAATTTTGCCCCATTAGAAAAAAAACGTATTTAGTTTCAAGTGTAAATAAGCAGAAATGGAACACAGAGAGACATTAACCAAATGCTGCCAAAACTTGAAAACATAAACAGATATGGAAGGAAAGCCAAGAGTTTTGAGGAGAAAGCAAACACTGCAGCTACTGCAAACTAAATACGTCAAGTGGATGAGAAAGAAAACAAACAAACAAACATCACCAAACTACAAAAACAAAAGAAACATATCCTGCAAGATTTTAAAATTTCATTTATTTCACTCTTTCTTTTCTTTCTAACTGACTCGTACTAAAAAAAGAACTTTTGTAAGGAAAAAAAAAGGAAAACACAGGAGATGCGTGTATATTTTTGTAAACATTCGAAGTAGTAGAAAAAAACAAAACAAATTGCATCATAATATTCTTTAACTTTTTTCAAACCCTCTCCACCCACAAACCACAGGAGTGTTGTAAAGAAAAAACAAAAGCTATAGAAATTAACCGAAAAAAACTACATACATAAAAGTTTATGATACAAAAACTACAACAACAACATGATATTTTAAGATGAAGAATACCAATTAATAAGTTTAATATCCAAATTTTATTATTACCATAGCGAAAAAAAAAAACCAACAAAAAATCTAAAAAAAAGTTATATATAAAAACAAAAATATAAAAAAAAATACAAAACAAAAACTTTGGAAGCGGACCATCATATACCAGGATTGATGTAGATCCGAACCTACGAAACAAAAACACAAAACAACCACAACAACAAACAACATGTTTTATTCATAAACGACAGCTGTTTCAGTCCACAGTTGTTGGAGAGATTTTGAAAGTTGTTAACTAAAACTAGCTTAAGTGTTTCAGGACACTTTAAGGTAATTTTATTTTCAACTTTAATCATGCCATTTAACTATGGGGATTGCGGAATTTATTGTCTGAGCGTTTTATTTGTTCGGAAAAGTATGTGTTTCTCTTTTAAAAAACACTCTCTTCTTCTTGAATATATTTGGGTTCGCTCAACATAAAATATTGAAATATAAATAATTATATAATTTACTACTAGAGCCTACAATTAAGTGGAAAAAAATCTTTAGAAAAAGAAACAATATTAAAAAAAACAAAAAAACCCAAACAAAAATTATAAAAAAAAATTTACAAAAAATTACAAAAAAATCTATCAAAACTTTATATTATAAAATTCTTAAAAAAGCAAAAAAAAAAACTTAATTACCATAAAAGAATAATAATATTTAAATTAAAAATAATTAATTAATAATAGTTTCTGAGTGTTTCAATGTTTGTTTTCCTTTCAATTTTTTTCTAAAAAAAATATAATTTTGTCTTAATAGTTTTTAATTTAAATTAAATACTTTTTAAACTCATTTGTCTTTTATATATATTAAAATATAGAAAAATACCGTAATATTTGTTTTTCCTTTGGACCTTTATAATAGTTTTCATATTTTTTATTTGTAATTAAACAAAACATCTAAACACCCCCCACAAAACCAATGTATGTTTTCTTTATTAAAATTACAGAAGTTTATTTTTATAGAGAAAATTATATTTTCTGATTTCTTTATTAAAGTACAAATTTTAAGAGATTCAAATCTCTCATTTCTATTAAAATCAATCAAACAATCTCACTGTAATATTGTGAATATTTTGTTAAATGATTTTGTAACAAACAAAACGAAAAAGAAAACTAAGAAATAACAAAATTTAAACAATTTAAAGTAAATTTTAATTTTTTTTTAAATTTGTTATACAAAAATCTTAAATATATAAAAATTAAATTGAAAATTTTGTTTAAATTGTGTGGTTTTTTAGTTTTAAAACTTTTGTCTGCCCTTTAAAAAGTATTTTGTAAATTATGTTTAACCAAAACAAACGAAAAAATCATTTGAAACTTTTTGTCAATTTCAAGTAGTGTATAAAATACTTAAAAAATAACAAAACAAACATTTTTAACACCTAAAGTATATTTAATACTAAAAAAAAAACAAAAATTGTTAAATTATAATTTTATTTAATTGGAATTGTAATTTTCAATTTCATTTATATACTCTACTTTAAAAAACATTAATTTTAATTGAATTATTTGTTAATTTTTTTAAAACTTACCTTTTCAAATTTCTCCTCTAACAATTTACTTTATTTTTTTTTTTAATAATAATTGTAATTCATTACAAATAAAACTTTTGTTTTAACATTATTTGTTTATGAAATTATAAAACTTAATTTCTTACTATTTAAAGTTTTATAATATTTGTAAGCAAAAGGTGTTTGTTTCTTTTTAAAAAAAAAAACAAAAGTTTTATTTACATTTAAAATTATAAAAGACCTAAAAAGTCTTTGAAAAAAAAAAAAAAATACCCAAACGCCTAAAATGTGTATAAGAAATGTTTAAAAATTATAAAATATTAAACAACAATGTAAAACTTGTTAACAAATTTTGCAAGTGAGCAGCCGCTTAAAAATCACGAAAATGAAAAAAGTAACAGGCGTTTGTTAACAAAAGAGCTGCTGTAAAATATAGATCTCATCATACAAACAAACAAACAAACAAATTAAAACATTTTTATTTAACAATAAACAATAGACCAGCAATTGGTTTATTGTTTATAATTTCGTTAAAAACATCCTCTCTTAAAAAATATATTTATATATGTATTAATTTAAACATCAATTAATTTATATTTAATTGTTACTTTTATTCCAGCCTAAAATTTTTTCTTTAGGCGTTTATATTTTACTTTAATACTCTGCGCAAACAACAACAACAAAAACAAGAAACTTTAAAAATCAAAAGAAGAGCAATTTGTCTTCAATGTATATTGTTAGCCAGCTTGCTTGCAAAGTTTGTTAGTTAGTTGGTTATATCTAATTGATTAAAATAAAACAAATGCAATTAAATTTATAGATTTTTTTTGTTTTTTTTTTTCTTCTTTACTTTTATATTATACACCAACCAAAACCTGCCCCCACCCATACTTCTTTACCTTTAACTAATTGTCCCTGTCCCCCCTCCAAAAAAAACACAATTTCTTTATAATTTAAAACAAAAAATTGTAGCAATTTTAGTAGCGGTATTTTTTTATTTTTTGTAATTTAATTTGCTTTTTTGTTATATTAATTTTATTTTTACAAATTTAGTTTATAAATTTTCTCATATACATACAATATTATATACAATACAAAAACAAAACAAAAAAACAAATCTTTAAAAATGTGTTTTATTTTTCTAAATCCTGGCAAAAACACTGAAATCTTTTTGTTATTTTTTATATTTAAACAAGAAATTATTTAATTTACTTTATTTTTGTTTCTATAACCAAACGGACTTTCATTGAAACACTTTGGTTTTATTCTATCTAAAAAACAAACAAAAAACAACAACAATAATATTAATTATTATAAAATAGTAAACAACAAAACAAAAATTATTATGATGCATCCATCCTTGTTTTCTTTAAAAAAAATTTAAAAAAAAATACTATTATCTAGACGAACAGCAGCAAATGATGATGTAGGAAAGTTATAAAAGAATGAAGAATGATTATCCATCTATTATTGTATACATTTATTTAACTATAATTATACATACATACTATATTTTAAAATGAATTTTTATTTTCAATATACACCATCTCTCTTCTTTAAGAACAAAAACTAAAACATCCTTGTTTTTTATTATTATATCTTCTGTTTATGAAACATTAAAATGAACAAAAAAAAAATAACTTTTGTAAAATCTGAAAAAGTATATGAAAAAAAGTTGGCTTTTTTATTTGAAATAAAATGTGAAGATAAAAACCAACAGGAATTTATTTAAAAATTCCTATTGAAAAATATATATATATGTTGTATATTAAGTTGTTTTATCTCTTTTTTTAACGTTGTTAATAAATTGCAATAGGTGAGTAGTTCCTCTTTATATCCATTGTCAAAGAACACTTTTTGTCAGTATTTATCAATAGTCGAATCGAACTACGGCGTTATTACCATTACTTTCATATCATAAAACATTACCATTTTAAATATCCACTCAGAGTCACAGAATGGAAACACTTTCACTTTAAGTTTTAAAGTGAAGCACTCTTATCCGAATAGGTCCCACTTAAAAGACATTTTTCATAAAAAATACACTCCTTTGTAGTCGAGGCCATACACTGTGGCCAGGGAAAATTCTTTCTATAGTTTTAATGTTAGTATGTGAAACACACATTCAGCATAAATTGTTCCTTTATCTTACAATCTAGGAAAGTTAACTTCTTCTCCCTCCCATGCTGATTGTTACGGCTATACCTAAATGAAAGCGTTGAGCGTTGCGTCCCGTATAAATTTGTGAAAACAAAAACAAATTACAAGTAATATAACGCTTTTGTTTGTTTAGGTATGGCTTAAAAAAATTATAAAAACTAATTCTGTTGTTCGAAATTTTAACAACAATTTTGATTCGAACGTAAAACCTGTAAAAACTGCATGTTATTAAGCTGCTTTTCAGTACTCGTTTACAAATAACTACTTAAATAAGTACTTACAAATATAGATTTTTAAACTTTTTTTGTTTTACACATACAAAAAATTCTCACACAGAATATGAATATATGCCTCGTGTTCGTTGGTTCGCTGTAGTATTCACAACACCAATGCTTCGCTATTTTATTGTGTATTAGATAATGGTTTTCACACAGAAAATGGCGAAACATAAAAGTAATGCATACGGTATGTAGTAGTCATTAAAAGTAAGGGGATTGTTACAAAACGCATGCAGTTACACCAAGTGAGACCTAATACCAAGTTTACACGAGCAGTTGAATTACTTAATTCGGCCTCTGAATGACAATAGCCAATTAACCCGTTTTTACGACACATTCGTAATTCGTTTTGACAGTTCATCGCCATGTTGTTTTTTTTTCATTAATTTTTTGGAATATTTGTGTGTGTATGATACAAAAATACGTTTGTTACATTATTTCAACAGTTTAAGTTGTATATTTTCTATTTATTTGCATTTTTTGTAATTTTACTTTTTATTTGTCTTCAATGAAAACAAACAGCTGATTATAATAAATACCCGATAAAAATTAGAGATGACACACATTCATTCGTAATTCGTACGTAATTCAAACTGAATTACGTAGAGCTTGTGTAATTCGCAGCTGAAATTTTGTAAGGCGAATCATGTCATTCGGTACGTAATTGGGGGTTGAATGTCGAATGAGAGCGTGAATTACGAATAATTGCACCGTGTGAACGGGTCATAACTCTGTTGATATATATTAATCACATAACTAGTTGATTTTTTGTTGTCAAGTGTAAGTTAATTTATAATACACCCTGTTCAATTCTTATTGTGCATTTTTACTATGCCTAAAATTATACTTTGAATATTGACAATTATGTACCAGTTTATTAAGGGTCTCATTTTATAAAACGAAACGACAAACGTTCAACAAAATTTGTATGGAGTCGATTTAGCTATGTCCGTATGTCTGTCTGTCGGTTTGTTTTTGTCTGTCTGTGTGTCCATGTAAAGTTTGTGCGCACGCTACAGGTCGCAATTTTCAATATAATTTGATGAAATTTGGCACATAAATTGCTGCCATAAAACTTAAAAATCGATTTACTAGAAAAAAGTTATGAAGGGGATATAGTTAACATTTCTGTATTTAGTGAAGTGTTATATGCTATTTTTTTTAAATTAATGAAATTTGGCCAAAAGATTTACTATTGTTCTAGGCAGTTTGGTATTGAAAATGATCAAAATAGGTTTACATCGGAAAGAGTTATGAATCAAAATTAAAAAAAAACTTCGAAAAAATTAAGCTTTTTGATCACATTCTAATACAATTTTCACAAAAATTATGCAATATAATTTCATAAAAATCTGCACACAATTGTTTCTATATGAAAGCTGATTCCTGTTAAAAATGGGCGGAATCGGTCCATAATTTCATATACCTCCCATACAAATGTACATATTCCCCGAAAAGGCATTAATTGTTAATTACTTCTGGTAGAATGAAAATATCTTTATAAACTTTTACAAGTAAAAGTTTTATATCAATTGAATTCATATAAAGGAAAAATTTTCTGAATCGGTCCATAATTTGCCGTAGCTCCCACACAAGTTCCCCTCCCGAAAATAATGGTATCCATACAAAATTTTGCACAAATATTGCCTTTATATACAGAAATGATACTGTAAAATCGGTCCATATTTGGTCATAGCTCTCATACAAGGTCCCCTCCCAAAAATCATTTAAACGCACATAACTCATTTCCAAATAATGGTATCCATACAAATTTGGCACGGTCGGTCCATATTTGGTCATATCTCCCAACAAGGTCCCCTCCCGAAAATCACTGAAACGCAAATAACTCATTACCAAGTATTGGTATCCATACAAATTTAGGCACAAATATTACCTTTATATATAGAAATTATACTGTAAATGTTTTCATAATAGCCCCTATACAAGGTCTCCTTCCGAAAATCACTTAAACGCACATAACTTATTATTAGATAATGGGATCCACACAGATTTTGGCAGAAATATTGCTTTTATATATATAAAAATTATACTATTAAATTTTTCACGATCGGTTCATATTTAGTCATATCTCCCATACAAAGTCCCCTTCCTAAAATATATGATATCTACACAACATTTATCACAAATATTACTTTTGTATACAAACAATTATTTTAAATTTGTTTACGATCGGTCCATAATAAGGGTCCGATTGGTCCCATTCAAAGCTTCTTACGAAAATCACTTATTACCAAATCGCTATAAAATATTATAGAAAATCTTGTTTATAACGCTAGAAAGATGAGAAATCATATTTCTACAAATATTTGATTAACTAAAAGGTTATATTAATATAAAAGTAGTTGGTGGAGGGTATTTAAGATTCGGCTCAGCCGAATATAGCACTCTAATTTGTTTAACACTCATATTTCCAGAATATTCGTTGGTTAGCGTAGTGTGATCTAAAAAATTGTATTGATAATGGGGAAAAATGACGTGACGGACGTTGAGGAACATTAAACGTGATATTATGAATTAAAAAACTGGAGGTTGTATCACCAGTAATTATATTGTAAATGAACGAGACATTCAACATAGTTCTACGGCGTTTAAGTGTCGGAAGTTTGATTAATGCAAGTCTGGCAGAATAAGAAGGCAAACTTGTGGTATTAAAATTCAGGCCTCGGAGACAAAACAGCAGAAATTGTTTTTGGACAGATTAGATAATGTCGGAATATTTTTTATATAGAGGATCCCATATTATGGATACATACTCAATTATCGGCCTTACAAGAGATGTGTAGAGCGATTTAGTAGCTCTACACATGGTTTTATAAAACCACGCTTCTAGCGTAATTAACTGTCATAGTTATGTGCGGAATAAAGTTTAGATTAGAATCAAGTAGAACTCCTGTACGCCATCAGCGTACATTGGGATATTGGAAGTGAATCATATCAGGTATGTCGTTAATAAACAAAGAAAACAGAAGTGGTCCAAGATGGTTACCCTGATGTACACCAGAAAGGACATCAATACTTCTGGAGCAGCTGTTTTTAAAAAGTACGGTTTGTTTTCTGATAGTTAAATATCAGTAAATCCATTTTAAACTAAGATCAGAAAATCCCATTAAATGTAGTTTCTTCTTCAAATGTACATGATTGACTTTATCAAAAGCCTTGCTGAAATCCGTGTAAATAACGTCTGTTTGTTGCTGATGAAAAAATCCACGATAAACAACTGTTGAAAGATGAAGCAGATTTGTTATAGTGGAACACTTCGTTCTGAAACCGTGCTGATAAGGGGTTATCAAGTTAGAAACTTGATAACATAAATCATCCGTAATAATTTCCTCAAATAATTTGGGAATTATGCTTAGTTTTGCAATACCACGATAATTTGTAACATCGGATTTATTTCCTGATTTGAACAAAGGAATAATGAATGAACCCTTCCAAACGTTTGAAAAATAACCACATTTAATCGATTTATTAAATAAGTATGATAGAGGAACAGATATGGTGTCGGCACAATTAATTAAAATGCTACTAGGAATGTTGTCAGGTCCAAAGTTATAGGAGAACTTTAGTTTTCTTAATTTTATAGAAATCGTAGGAATGTTAATTAAAGGTATTGACACTGTGGAATTTGTATTTATATTAAAGGGATAATCGATGGAATCATTATAAGTTGCAAGTAGTTGAAAAGAAGTTGGCAAATAAATTGCGTATAATGCTGTCATCGCTAGATCCAATCTGCTGAAATTTCATCGATGATAGAAAACCAGTAACTTTTTTCTTGGAATTAACGAATTTGAAAAACGATTTCGGATTACGCTTAAAGTTGAATTTTATTGTATTTACATATTTATCATAACATGATTTATTAAGTATTGTGTATTTTGCACGGATAACAGAATATCGTATATAATCAATATAACAACCAGATTGTTTAAATTTTTTATAGTATTTATTCTTCTTATTTTTCGCACGAGCCAGTTGTTTATTATTCCATGGTGGACCGGATAACTGTCTAGATATTTTCATAGGTACACATAAATTCAAAAAGGAATTAACCTTAGAGTAAAAGGCATTAGATATATCATCAACATTAGAATAGCATGAAAATAAGGTTGGTAC